AAATGCACCGAAATTATTCGTTCTTCTTCGGTGCAAATTTGGCCTTCAAACGCACTCTCCCTCTCAAGAGCTGCTCCTTTCCCATCTTTCCGGACGTCCGATTGGCTTGCAAGAATGCGCTTCATTGCCTTCACTCCGAGCGGGTTCCCTTACTCTGCGGAAAGGAAAAAAAAAAAGTAAAAAAAAAATAAATCCGTTTACATAAAATAATTTCAATATAAATTGATTGAGTCAACTCACAATCGAGCAGGTGCCGGCGTAAACATCGCACACGGGGTACTCATGGGGGCAGCAACTGTAGTGATCGTCACAGCAAGTGGCCCCCTTGAGGGGGCAGCAGCCCCACTCGAAGCAGTAGCCATGGTACTCGTAAATGCAGCAGCAGGTTGTGCTATCGGGGCACGCATAGTAGTCGTCACAAACGGAGGAGGGGGCAGATGGGGCAGGTGGGGGCGGACTGGGGGTGGGGGGCGACGGGCCTGGTTTTGGAGGGTTTAGACCAGATTTGACCGGGTAAGAGGGCTCGACTGCGATTCCGCAAAGTCCCTCTTTGGCCTTCACGTTACGCTTCATTCTTAGGTAGCCTTTCTCTCCCCAGCTGTCGCCCCATGAATTTCTGACGATCCAGTAGTCGACACCCTTTTCGGTGCCGTAACCGACTACGTTCACACCGTGGTCCAAGTCCAATCCACACTTGCCACTGAATATACCCTGAAAAAGTTTTACAAGTTAAAAAAAAAATTGATTATGAAACGATCGTTGCATATTAGGGGTGTGCGCAAAAGCTTACGTAAAAGCAGAAGTTAGTGGTGATTGTGAGTAAAGTTAGGAAACAATTTGTTTTAGTGGTGGTGATCAACTTTTAAACAGTTACCCCCTCTATCCCTAATAACTGTAGTTTTTCATCTTTGCACAGTATTAAGAATCTTAATAAATGTTTGCTTGATTTTAGGAAAAACACATAAAAAAGACTAAAATAACCCTTATCATTTTAGGATATCATAAGAGAGTTAATACTATTATTTGAATTAATAAGGGTAAAATAGGAAAAAAAATGCATTTAATGACAGATAATATGAAACAAAAGTATTCTCTATACTATGTTTGTCTCAAATGTCCTCGAAAATTAGATTGAGATATAAATAATGACATAAATGTCCAATATAGCTCGGCAAACATCACCTTAGTGTACTACATATGAAACGATTATGGCATCGTCGTTTACGGACAAGGAAACAAAGTTTTTTGAGGACTTACCGATTCATACAATTGGAAGTCCCTACCACCGGCATCAATGGCAACACTCAGAGGCTGACTAGCGGCTGCCTTCTTAAGGGCATTTTCGTCATTCACCGGAACATCTTCGTAGCTGTCGATGGACACAACTTTCGCATTTTTCTGCATAAAAGATCCAACGAAAAAAATCGTCAAAAACAGCTGCTCTCTTGAAAAAGTAATTTTTTTTTTAAATTCGCCAAGAAAGAGAAGAAAAAACTAACCCGGTAAGAATCGCATTTACCATCGACGCCCGTGTACGGATAATCATTTTCAGAGTCGATGCCTCCATTATCGATAATGAACTGAAAGGCATAGTCCATAAGACCACCATTGCATCCCTCGTCGTACGAAGTGTCGCAATCAACCAGCTCTTGCTCCGAAAGGGTCGTTAAATTACCGGTCGCTATTTGGTTCACACCTTCCACGGAAGCTATCGTAGAGAATGCCCAGCAACTCCCTTCAATTGCAATTCAAATTTCAATTAAACAAATTCAAATCAGAGATTCTTGATTCCACTAGAGTAAATGAATTCATATAAAAAAACCATTTTTTTCCCCCCAAATGCACAATGACTGCAAACAAGAACATCAACAAGTATATATATATTACATGTTTCGATCTTCGGAAAATTACGAAAAAAAATAACAAATCAACTGCAGTCACAACAAAACAAACCTAAAAACCCAATCTTTATTAGATGAAAAAAAAAAACCAATTTGTTTGTATTTGGTAATAAAAGTCAACCATCATAAACTCATCACTTTCTACTTAATCTTATTGCAAGATTTTGAAGTGGCCCACCTAATTTTCTCCAAAGAAATTGAATTTAAATTAAAGAAAATAAAAAAAAAATTAGAAACTGAAAAAAAAGGGTAGTTGAAGATATATATATATATTACCACAGCTGCCTTGATCTTTGACCGGAGCGACGGCGCCTTTGGCCCTCCAGTCAACGGAATCCGGCAAGCTGTCGCCGACTTTCGGCGCGTACCGGTCACTCCTCACCTTCGAAAGCCGCCGTTTGGGGTCGGTCCGGGTGCCGAGAAAAGTCTTGCGGTACTCGGCGTTGGTGAGATCGGCGAACCGGTTCAGGCCGAGCTTGTGGGTCCGGCCGTCCTCCGCGTTCTGCTCGTCGATGTACATGAGGTTGTCCCTGAAGATCTCGAACCGCCTCTCCTTCTCTCCGACGGCGGCGTTGCCGTACGATCTGCCGTGTTTGACCATCCACGACTCGTGCATGGAAACCATCTCTGAGTGTGACCGGAGAAAGCTCCGGCTCCCGCCGTGGGATAAGATGGACATGTCGGAAGCCGCCGTCTCCGACAAGAGCGAGGATGTAAGAAGAACAAGAAAAAGGAAAGACATTGTTGAAAGTGATGAAGTAGCCATTTTTTTTTGTTTGGTTTGAACTGAAGAAAAATGGAGTTGAGGAATGGAATCTTTTATAGAGGCGGAATGGGAGTGGGGAGATATATTTTATTTTATTATTAATTAATTTTTTTTTTTTTTTTTGCAGTAAACGTTTATTTAATTGTTTGTTTAGGAATTATTGGAGAGAGGTGGTGTTGAGTATAAAATGTATAATCACTTGTTTACTTATTAAGAAGGGAAAATAAAATAAGAAAAAGGTTAATTAAATTGAAAGGGTATTATTGGTATATTAAAGTGAAATGGGGGGCCAATGGGGTAACGCATCAAAAGTCAGCCAGTAGTAGATGGGCATGTGGATGAGATGTGATTGGCTTCAAAATCAAGCTATTCCAGATTCTCCAACGGAGGGTATCCAATAATAATAATAATAATTACGGCCACCTTTGGGATATGTCAAATTGCGAAAAAATCTCTCATGTTTGAGCAATTATAATCGATCCTTCAACTATGAGTTTCTTACGTGTTCACTATTTGTCAAATTTAGTGGAATCTTCTAGATTATGTGGAGTAATCTCCTATTTGTACATGTATTATCTCATTTTAGCTCCACATTTCGAAACAAGATGATCATAAGATGTGTCTCTTGGCTTGTAAATATCAAACTGTGGTGCATTAAAAACTGTCATTTTGCATAAAACGAATACAAACTAGAGAATATTCCACGGACACTAGAAGATTCTATTGAATTTGATACGATAAGAGTGAACGTGTAAGAAGATTCATAGTCGAAGAGTAGTTGTTATTATCCAAACGTGAGGGGTCTCTTTATAATTTGATATTATCTCAGGGGATGACCGTACATAATTTACTCTAATAATAACAACACGATTCAAGTTTGATTAGTGATCTATTTTGCTCATAATTTTGTACCACAAACTCCGATTGCATTCACTTATTCAAGTTGCGTTCAAGAGCCAGAGAATTTTAAATGTAGTTTTGTCACGAAGAACTTATAAACTATTTTGTCTTTAATGTATTTACAAGGATATTGGTAATTGTTATACACTAAATATAAAAGAAAATTAAAACATAATCAATACCTTTTTTTGGTGGGAGATGAGCCCATACCAAAAAAATTAATGTTTTGCTAGTGAATAAATTATATATGAAGAAAAAAAATGAAATGTGGGTTAGGTGACAATAACAAACAGGCAAGTCGAGGGACCAATCATGGCTTTTCTATTTTAATTTGTTTCTTTACTATATAAATAATATTTTAAATAAATATTTATATGTTACTTAGTTTTATTGATATTGACATTCTCTGCCTCCATCTCCTTTTGTTTTTAAGTTTTGGAAAAATTGATATGGACGTTCAAGAATTGAAAGAAGATAGTAATCATATAAGATAATGCATATGAAAATGATATTCAAAAATATTTTACTGAGTTTTAACTTAAAAATAATAATCTAAAAAAGTGGTATTTCGTATAATAATTTGCAAACCATACGAGAAACGTAAACCACAGTACGTTAAACATGTGTGACGAATTCTACCTTACGAGCGGAATTCGAAGATGAGTCAATTGACACACGCTCAATTGCTCCAACAGCTATAAAATTCATAAAGATAGTGTAGGTAGGGTTAGGTAACAATAATTCCATCAACCTTCACTATAATTATTGGAAACTTGTAATCACTTTGGGAAAATAAATTAGTTCAAATAAAAAAGAATTGCTTTTAAATATCCAACAAGGTTGTTTAAAGTTAAAATTGACATTTGAAAACAATCAACCCTTCAAAACTGAACTCCGAGATGAAGACACATAGGCTCTGTTTGGTAAGCTTTTGGGCTTACATTTCCATTATATTTTGGGGAAAGATGTTTTGGGAGAAGAATTTGAAAATTAAATAAAGTTTGTTTGTGTTTTGGGAGGAGACAATTTGTACTGTAGCAAGTCAAATCATGTCTGAAAGGTGTTGGGAAAATGTATTTTGGAAGAAGAATTTAAAAGATAAAGTGATTTGATTTTGTATTTTAGTGAAGACAATTTTCACTGTAGCGGTCAAATCATGTTTGTTAGAGAGAGAAATATTTGAATTTGTTTAGGGGAAAGATTTTGAAAATAGTGTGAAAAGATAATTTTCATTTTGGGGAAAGTGTGAAAAAAATTTGGAAATGCTAACAAACATAACCATAATTTAGCAATTTCATAAATTATAACTTTAATTCTCACACTTTAGAAGCCAAAATTGTAATTTATTCATTCAGGAAAATATAAAAAAAAATGTGTACAATATTATACTTTGTGATCCGTTTTACTTTGTGTGATTAATTTGTATGTTACTTTAACAAAATAAAGACACGATTTTAAGGATAAAATTATTTTTTTTCTTCTCATCGACTACATAATAAATCACATTTGTGAGATTCTACTACATTATTAAAATAGTAACACATAATTGCAAATTTCAACTTTCATCGCGATTTTGAGTAAGTAAGAATCTTATCGTATGAACGTCTTACAAGGCGTCAACTATTTAGTCAAAAGTTAAATACCCGTGTCAAGAATCCATTTTAGTTGTGCATATTACCCGTGCCAAGAGATTTATAAATCGAGTAATATGCATAACTAAAAGAGATTTTTGAATCTTATCATATGAATGTCTTACTAGCCGTCAACTATTTATAGAGGGTGTTTGGCTAATCTTATAAGATGTTAAAATGAGCTTATAAGATGTTTTAGAGCTTATAAGCTCTTCTAAGGTGTTTGGTAATTTCAAAAAAAAAATCTTAATTTTTTTTTAAAATAAGCTATTAGAGGTCAAATAAGATATTTTTAGAAAGTACATTTACCCCACCTTTTTATTTAAGATAGTAAAAATAAGAAATAAACTCATTATACAAATAGTCTAAAAGTAAATCCTAAAAAAATAAGATGTAACAGCTAATCAATACTTAAAATATCTTATCGGACGTGAGAGCTTATCAGTTATTTAAAATAAGATTAACCAAACACTTAATCAATAGAGTTTAATAAATGAGAAACCCTTTTTACCCGTGTCAAGAGGTTTATAAATCGAGTAATATGCACTACTAAAAGGGATTTCAAGGAAGATGGTCAATAGGGTAAGAATTAGAACAGATACTCATAATATTTCAGTGAAACTTTGCAATTACACAAATTCAAACATGTATTTAATTTTGAGGAAAATATTCCCCAAATTATTTATCTAAACTAGGGGTGAAAGTTGGAACATGATTTTCAATTTCCACCAGTTTCGATCTGAAAAGTTCCGATTTTGGAACAAACATTTTTCATTCCAATCTTCGAAAATTCGATTTCTGAGATTTTTCGAATATTTTGGGTTGAAATTGAAATTATTTAACAATATTTGGAATTTTCAGTTTGATCAAATTTTTCAAATTAATTATATATATATATATATATATATATATATATATATATATATATATATATATATATATATATATATATATATATATGATCTTATTTATTTTAACTAGTCTAAAATAAATTAAAGTATTTACCATTTCATTTAACTAAAACACCTAGTTTCTTCCCTAGGTTTGACTTTTATTATCTTGAAGGTTTACAATTTTGTGGTATTTTAAAATAGGTGCCAACAAACAAAAGAAAATAAGTGTCTGCAATTGGAATCATTATAGTTATTTTTAAACTAACATAATCTATCGTATGAGTAGTTTTAGTTTTATAATTTTATGAAAGTAAGTGTTCTTATATTCGAAAAACTGTTAAAAATTCATGTGATTTCCGAAATTTTCATAGCTTTTGAAATTAGAATGAACTTCTAGATTCCAAAATTATTGGATTTGGAATTGGAATTAGTTTTGTGCTTCCAGTAAAATTCAAAAATTTCCGAAAAATATTAATTCCGATCCGTTCCATCCGATTTTCACCTCTTATCTGAATCCTTACAATCCGTGTGTATATACTAAATGAAGACATTGTATATATATATATATCATAGTTGGCCACGTTGAAGAAATGAACATGCGGTGAAATGGGATTCTCTTGTCTGCATCTCGACCATACGTTACTGAATCAAGGAATGGCCAACTGCACTTATGAGTTATGTCCGGTTCAATTATTTTGTGACTCGCCCACTCTGCCTTAACTTTTCCTCCATAAACTTTACTCTACGTACCCATTTTATTTTATTTTTTTTATTGTAATAATTATTTATAGAGCAAGAATATTTAATTTCATCGAGTTTCGGCATGTTATTATTTTAATTTTTACAACGCAAAGATTAAGTCAAGAAAATGATACAATAATGTTGCGTCAGATTTTGGATGATCGATGTAATAAAGATTAGGCCTCATGTGTCGGTTTTGCCTACCTAAGATTCTTGGAATTTTAACATAAATTAATTTAAATTTATAATAGGATAACTGTGTTTCTATTTTTTTGATTTAATAATGGTTTTTTTTTTTTTTGAAAACAAATAATGGTGTTCTATTGTCTAAAGTCTAAACCATTATGCAAATAATATTAAAAAAGACCTCGAGTGGTTCCTTAATTAGATTGAAGTAGTGGGTGGATAGAATAGTCATTAAAAGATCCATACGAAGAAATCTGCAGCTATATGGATGCATTAGTAAACTTACACTCTCGTATAGTAACTTGTAAGCCATATCAGCGACACAAATCTCTCTAAATTAATTACGTGTGACAAGTTAGACCTAGCGATCGTTGACTAGGAAATTTAAACTTCGGTCAATTAACATAAATTCACTTGCTCCAATCACTAAATCATCTCTTGTGAGACAATAATGATATAATGTTGATGTGAATTGTAGAAACTACTACTGAACAAGGGAGGCATCGTGAGAATTAAATTAGAAATATAATAATAATAATAATAATAATAATAATAATAATAATAATAATAATAATAATAATAATAATAATAATATAATGATAATAATAAGTTAATACTAAAAATAATAATAATAAAATGATGAAATACCATGTTTCTATTTTATTTTTTATCTCTAGTGACGAATAAATATAAAAATGTTATATCATTACCTTTCCTTTCCATCACAACTTATCTTCATTGGTTCTTCTTATTAACCACTCCTTAAATCCTATCGCAAAGTCATGTTAAAAAAGGGTAAATTACGATCATAAAAAAAATTAATAATTACGACTACCCTTCAATTATGAATTGTCTTACACGTCCACACTTGTGATGTCAAATTTAGTAGAATCTTCTAGATTATGTGGAATATTCTCCAGTTTGTACTCGTTTTATTCCATTCGAGCTCCACATTTTGAAACAAGATAATCATAACATGCGTGTTTTGCCTTGTAAATATCAAATTGTAGGGCGTCAGAAACTGCATTTTTGCATAAAACAAATACAAACCAGTGAACATTCCACATAATTCATAAGATTATGTTAAATTAACATCATAAATGTGAAACATATAAAAACTCATAGTTTAAAGGATGATTGTAGTTACTCAAATAAGATTGATTTTTTTTTTTCCGTAATTTAATCATACATCAAGGGTGACCCTAATTTACTCAAGAAAATAATGGAAGATATTTGTTTGATTGATACATGTTGCACGTTGTTCATATAAAGTTGGCAATGCGTCCCCAGTCCCTGTCATAATAATAATAATAATAATAATAATAATAATAATAATAATAATAATAATAATTTGATGATGAGATGTTCATTTTCAAAACATGACATCATTTTTCTTTAATATTTTACGTGACTAAATTTAGGAACAAATGGTCGTCCCCGTAATTTACCGGTCGAGTCATTAATTATATTTTTAAAACGAAAAAAATGTGTAATTATATTTTTCTTAGAAAATATTAGTAAGAAAAATATAATTACATTTCGTTATTGAATATTACTTATCAGATAAGTATGTGCGTGGCTTCTTTATCTTCACTTTTCCTCTTAATGTCAAAACTTGCGATTAGTTTGGCCAAATTTATGGATCTAATCTAACTAACACGTATTGAGAAACGATTGGTTTCTTAATTGCTTGAACAATAGATATAGTTAAATTACGAATTCTACAACAATTATAAATTGTGAAAATGACACGGTACATAATTGTTAATTGGAAAAAATCACGTGGCATATTCTTGTCCCATTTCTTTTTTTTTTAGTCGACCATTGTAATATAATGAAGGGTAAATTACACCAACATTCTATAGGTATGTTGAAAATAAATTTAAGGTCTCTCTAGTATTGATAATTATTACGATCATCCCTCTGAAACATTGTTAGAAATTCTAACGGGATAATGCGTTGGATACGTTATTCCGATAGAGTTTTAACGGACTATTAATTTTAGGAAGTGGTGGAGACTGCTAAGTGTATATTTTTATACTTAATCATATCTTTTAATTGGAGCTTTTAGTATATTTTATTGATAATTGATGCTTAAAGTTTTGATTTATTGTGTTACAATCACAAATTGAAGAATTGAATAAGTTATGGGTCAAAACTACAATTTAGAAGAAAATATGGACAAAATTGGAAAAGTCAAACATACGAGAAGGAAAGACTGGTTGCAAGGAAACTTCCGGATTATTTGTTCTACTTGTTTTATTAAGTGCATGAAACTTGTCACTTTATGTGCTTTTATGTTATTATTAATCACATGAATCGGAAGGTCGGATTCAATTATTTTGTGACTCGCCCACCCTGCCTTAACTTTTCCTCCATAAACTTTACTCTAACTATTTTATTTTTTTTATTGTAATAATTATTTATAGAACAAGAATATTTAATTTCATCGAGTTTCGGCATGTTATTATTTTAGTAACTTTTACAACGCAAAGATTAAGTCAAGGAAATGATACAATATTGTTGCGTCAGATTTTGGATGATCGATGTAATAAAGATTAGGCCTCATGTGTCGGTTTTGCCTACCTAAGATTCTTGGAATTTTAACATAAATCAATTTAAACTTATAATAGGATAATTGTGTTTCTATTTATTTGATTTAATAATAGTGTTTTTTCATTTTTTTGAATTTTTTTGTAATTTTATAACAAATAATGGTGTTTCTATTGTCTAAAGTATAAACCATTATGGAAATAATATTAAAAAAGACATCAAGTGGTTCCTTAATTAGATTGAAGTGGTGGTTGGATAGAAGTTATTAAAAGATCTATAGTGGCATAATTTTTTCTTTTATCGTAATGGAGGAATCCACAGTCAATAAATTATATAGGTGTATTGGGTAAAATTTATACTCACGTATTGTAACATGCAAATCATACGAGATATATAAACTACATTAAATTAACCATCTGAGACAAGCTCGACATGATAACCGTTGATAAGGAGATTTGATTTAAACTTTAGTCAATTTACACAAATTTATTTACTCCAGCTGCTAGATGATTCCTTACTGGACGATAATGACACAATGTTGATGTGAATTGTACAAGAGACTACTAGACAAGGGAGGCGTCATGAGTTTAAATAATAATAATAATAATAATAATAATAATAATAATAATAATAATAATAATAATAATAATAATAATAATAATAATAATAATAATAATAGCGCGTCCATAAATTTGCTGCGGGTGGGCTTAATTTTTCAGTGGACCTTCTTTTATTGAATAAATTAGGAGGAGAAAAAAATTAGGATTTTTTTTGCATATGTTGAATTTTGAATAAACTAAATAATAATAATTAGGTGGACGAAATAATAATATAGGTACAATATAATTGAAAAATTAGTAATTGAGGGGAGCTTTCAACCCTCATCAAGAGAGTTGGTACCTAACCTTACCAATAGGTAAAAAGTCTAGGGTTCGAGTCCCTCTTCTCCTACTTCCCCTTGTAAAGAACATCATGCATAATGAAAGTGGATAATGCCTTCAAACCTTCACTTAGTACAATATATTTTCCGTACTAAAATCAAAGTGGATTTAGCCTTGAAACAGTGATCATTGGGGCACGTAGAATTATTGCACACATAATGTTCGAGTGTCCTGAATAAGCTTCTTAAAGACGGCAGATTGACGGCCTTGTGCCTTACCCCATTTTCAGTGAGCGCTCTAGAGAATAACATTTAATTCTCACAGGAAGCGACCCCACTTCCACACTCATATAGGTGAATTTTGTCAAGGATGTTTACGTAACTCCAACACCCCACGCATACCGGCTATAAGATTCATTAAGAGATCAAAGTCTCAACCTCACAATTTGTTACGAGCTTTAATAGTGCATACACACCATAGGGATGAATTATAAAAGTGTGCACTTTTATCACTATCAAGTTGCTTTCAGGTCGTTGATCTCCAACTTAGTTCTCTTGGGATCTCCAGTCCCTAGGTGGTTGTATCATCATCAAAAATTTTACAATATTTTAAGATTTAATCTTATCCCCATCGATGCTATTAAGATTTTTTCTCTAGCTAGAGATTTTGTAAGCGGATCCGCAAGATTATTGCACGATTTTACAAACTCAATAGCCAAAGCACCATTATTCACATATGACCTTACAGTGCTATGTTTTCTTCTAATGGTTCTTGATTTACCAGTGTAGAATTTGTTTTGCACACGGTTAATCACAACTTTGCTATCACAATTTAACAAAACATGAGGAATTGGTTTTTTCCACATTGAAATTTCATATAGTAGATTTCGCAACCAACTTGTCTCTTCACTGGCTGAGGCTAGTGAAATCAACTCAGCCTCCATAGTGGATTTAGCTATAACATGTTGATTTTTAAAGCGCCAACATACAGATTATTCACCTAATGTAAACACATAACCAGTGGTACAAAATGAGTTATCACACTCAGTACTCCAATCAGCATCATTGAAACCCTCAACGGTAGCAGGATGTAATTTATAAAATATTATGTTGTCCATGATTCTCTTAAGATAACCCATGACTCTTCTCAAAGCTTCCAATGTTCATAATTAGGTCTATGTGTGAATTGATTCAAAACACCAACAACATAAGCAATATGAGGCTTTGTACAATCAATTGCATATCTGAGGCTACCAATGATACTTGCATATAATTTTTGTCTTCGACATCATTGTCACTTAAAGTAGGACACAATTTAACAACATTATTAAAAGGAATGCACGTAGGATTGCAATCAAAATAATTATATTTTTTTCAAAAATTTCTCAACACAGTGCCATTGATAAAGACATATACATTCATGTACTTTAGTTATGTTCATGCCAAGTATTACATTAGCTTCACCCATATGTTTTATGCCAAAGTTATTTTTAAGTAAAGCTTTAGCAAAATTCACAATTTCCATATGAGAGTCAAAGATAAGCAAATCATGAACATATAAACAATTAAACATATAATAACATGCAATTTTTCTCAAGACATCAAATACAGTTATCATTCTCATTACATTTAAAACCATGAGTAATCATGCAATGATCAAATTTCTCATCCCATTGTTTAGGAGCTTGGTTTAGGCCATAAAATGATTTAATCAATTTGCATACCTTTTTTTTTTTATCATGACCAAATTGAACAAACCCATTAGGTTGTTCCATATATAATTCTTCTTCTAAATCACCATGTAAAAATGCAGTTTTCACATTCATTTGATGAATAAGAAGATACAATAGCAATCAACTCTCTTATAGATGTAATTCTAGTCACGGGAGAAAAGGTATCAAATAAATCTATCAACTTTTTGTTTCAATACCTTAGCAACTAATTTGGCTTTATTCTTATCAATGGATCCTGTCGGGGTTAAGCTTCGTTTTAAGAATCCATTTACAACCTATCGCATTACAATCAGGACGTAATTCATCTTATTTCCAAGTCCTATTAGTAATTGGAGAATTTATTTCATTATTGATGTCTCTCTTCATATATCAGAATCAAGGGATGATAGAGCTTTATTAATGGTCATATGATCATTTTCTATGTTATAAACAAAATAATCAGGACAAAAGTCTCTCTCAATTCTAGATCTCTTACTTTTTCTAGGTCCAATTTCACCACTAGGTTCTTCTGAGTTCTCATTGGTGACACTGATCTTAGATGAACTAGGTTCTTCTATATATCTATCATTACCCCCCTCATTTTTCAATTTATAGGGAACTTATATTCATGAAATATAACATATAAATATTCAATTATTGTCCAAAGAAGAGGGGTTTTTTCGTAAATTAACCATACCTCAAGGGGTGGTAGTAATTTACCTTATTTTGTATTACCACGATACACATTCTTCACCAACCACCAACCAGCTTTGGCTGCGGCAATATAGCCAGCAGCAGATTCATTGAAGTACAGACGAATACCAACCACAACAGCAGCTCCCAAACCAACAACAATTTTCATTGGGCGATGATACGCGTAAAACCTACGTATGAAAAACCGCAAGTGTACAGTATCGCGTTTTGTAGAATAGTGAATTCCAGATATCGATCCACAGGGAATTAAGTTCCTAAATTTACCAAGTACACCGTAATTATACTATCCTAAACTTTATCTAGACGATCGAAAGGGAGGGGGATGAAGCTAAAAAGAAAGAAACAATAATATAAGCAACGGTCCGCCAGTAAAAGCGAGGAATTCCGGTGTGATGGCTTCTAGGGTAAAATCCACCAATGTACTATCGATAAAGATCTACAAATCCGAATCTAATGTCAATTCTATATTCGCTAACCCAGACACTAAAATACCCTAACCCCCGTCTCCAGTGTAGTTAGAGTCTACCCACAGGTCCGACGTCTCCGTTCAGAACCTGATATTAAGAGAGCATTTAGGTCAAGTCCTTAAAGGCTACCCGAGGTGCATCACGTCTCCGTTTCCACACCCCGAGCTATGTTTTCCTAACTTCAAACGAGAAATCCTCTCTCGAGTTCATTCCCATTTAGAATCAATTCAACTGTTGGCCAAACAATCGAAAGCATTTAATACAGGAAAACATAAACAGAATCAAAGAACGACAAATAGATCACAGATCTGGAAATCAAAATCAATATATACAAGGTTTCATTTCCCTAAAAGAAAATGCTTAGTTCATTACAAACATAGCATCAAAATGAAGAACACGAGAAATCATAAACTAAACGTAAAGAAAAAGCTTATGAAAAACCCGAGTCGAAACCCTCGTCGAAGCTTCCCGCGAAGAACTGGCGAGAACCGAAGAGAAAACCGAAGAAGAAGTCGAAGAGTCGGTCTAAGAAGTTCTTGAATTGCTTGCTTCTATTTATAGTCAGGCTTGCCTTTTTAGATATTTTTTACGCATCCCAAGGCCATATCGCGATATGGGCAGCAATATCGGGCGATATGGTAAAATTGCAAGCTCTCTGTTTCGTTTCTCCCCATATCGCGATATGGAATGGCATATCGCGCGATATGGCAAAAATGCAAGCTCTCTGTTTCGTTTTCTCCCATATCGCGATATGGAAGGTAATATCGCGATATGGTCGCTGCAATAACTTCAAACTCTGTTTTGACCCTTTTGTAGCCCGAATTTGACAATTTTGCATTTCACAAAAGTTGTAGACCTTGAAGTTGGCTTCGTAAATCCACTTGAATCAGCTCAATCGGAGATCGTATGAGAGAGTTATGCATGAAATACCGAACGCTTCCCTCTTCAACTTGAATGCAATTTTGCACTTGTTTGGTTGGTTCTCGGCTTCGCTTTCAAAATCGTTTCGAATCGGCAAAAATAGCTAACAAAACCTAAAAAAAGAAATAAAACAAGAAACGCATAATATATACAAATAAAGCCGAAAACTCGTACGAACGAAGACCAAAACTTGAAGAATTGATAAGTGAAAATCATTCAAAATGAACACTTATCAGGCGATAACGGCTGTGAACCATAACGGAAGAAGAAGTCCCAACACCGGAAAAAGTACCAAACCCAGAGGAAGTGCCAAATCCATTTGGAGAAACTGGACCAGTCATAGAAAACCCGTCAGAACGTTTATCATACACAATTAAGTCAAAGTTCCTGGACAACAACTCTTTAGATGTTGCTCTTTCACTCTCGACCATATCATCACCAATCACGGCCACTACAGACCTTGGCCGGTTATCAACCGACCAAGTCATAGGGACTTCAGACCCCATAAACTCATTCACATTAGTCAAGGAGTTAAGAGTGAGCATGACCTTCACACTATCCACAACAGCCATTGCAAACGATTAAGACAGATAAATCAATTCTCATCGGTCAAATTATTTTCAAATAAAAAAAAATCATATGCATAAAGCAGATTGCTAAATTAAACAAAACGCCCTTCATTCACTGGTAGAATAAAAATGTCAGATCTGGAATTATAATCCTAAAAGAACCATATTTCTAGAATAATAAAATTAAATAAAAACACGTCATCGGAAGAAAGGAAAATGTCGGGAAAATCATTCCAAACAATTGATCTGACAATTAACCCTAAAATCATAACAAAAAACTTAAACGATATTCAAGGAATATTGATATCAATTGTTCACAAATAAGCCAAATGATCAATGCACGGATTGATTAGGCAAAACATTAACTCAACACCATCAACAGCGATACAAAACTTAATTTGTTGCCTAAAATTATTCTTCAAAATAAAAAAAAAATCAACACATACATCTCAGTCAAAAACTGAATAGACAGAAGCCTTCCATTCATGATATTTTTTTAGGGTAAATTACAACCACGCCCTAAGGTATGGTCAAATTACGAAAATCCCCTTCTTGTTTGGGGAATTACAACCACGCCCTTCAACTATAAAATTTAGTATAATCTTCTAGATTATATGAAATATTATCACTTTTCTACCCGTTTTATCCCATTTGAACTCCACATTTTGAAGCAAGATGATCATAATATGTGTTTTTTGGCATATATCAGATTTTGATGCATCAAAAACTGTATTTTTACACAAAATGAGTACAAACTACACCACATTCCACGAAATCTAGATGATTATGTTGAATTTGACACAATAAGGGTGGAGGTGTAAGAAAAAATCATAGTTGAGGGTAGACACGGCCATGGGTCGGTTTTTCGGCCCGAAACCGGCCCGTTGACCGGTGAACCGGTCCCGGAACCGTGAACCTGCCCGTGTCCCTCGGGCCGGGGCCGGTTCTTGAAATAGGTGAAAAAAAAGGCTGAAAAGGCTTAAAAAACGTGCACCGGACTGGTGAACCGGCCCAGTGAACCGGCCGTTATTTACTCTTTTTTGAATTCTTTTCCCCCCATTTTTTTCCGATAAATATCCTCAACGGCGGCGACCGACGGTCTCCGGTGGTGGCGGGTCAAAATTAGGGTCAAAATTGAAATTATGGTTAAAATTGGTTAATTGATGAAATTGGGCTAAATTGGGGTGTAAATCATGAAATTGCAGTTGAATTGGGTTTCAATGAATTGGGGGTAATTTTGGTATATATAAAAGGACTTTCCTTATTTGCAAATAAGTTTAAATAGGCTGGATTTATTTGAAAAACAAAAGAGTTGGATGTCCCTCTTTTAATTAAGTGCCTTTATTATGGTCATATTTACCATTTGCTCTAATAATACTAAATATCTTAACACACTATGATTATTATAAATGCATAAATAAATAAGCGGAAAGACATTTCAAACTAATAATAAAAAAAAAAATCACAAAAGTAACAAAATCTCTTTATTCACAAACATAAAGCAACAATTACAATTTTCAAATTGTCAAATCTACATCAAAATTATTCTCCAAACTAAAAAAGAGCAATACGAACATCAAAATTATTATCCAAACTAAAAAAATCAACAGATACATGTCAGTCGAAAAAAAATCGCAAAGGCCTTTCATTCCTGATATTTCTTATTACCACAATACGCATTCTTGATCAGCCACCAACCTGCTTTGCCTGCGGCAATTTAGCCAGCCACAGAATCATTGTAGTACAGGTCATAACCAACCAAACCAACAAAACTCAAACCAACAACAACTTTCATTGGGCTAGAACGGCCCCAAACCACAACAGAAGACGTACTCCCAACACCGGAAGTAGTTCCGAAACCAGAAGTTCCAAAACCAGAAGTTTCAAAATCAGAGGGATAAATTGGATCAGTCATAGAAAATTCATCAGAACGTTTATCGTACACAATCAAATCAAAATTTCTGGACAACAACTCCTTAGATGTCACTCGTTCACTCTCTATCATCTCATCACCAATAACCGCCATCACAGACCTTGGCCGGTTACCAATCGGTCAAGGAGAAGGGAAATCAGAGTCCATGAACTCTTTGACATCAACCAAAGAGTTCAGCGTGAGCATAAGCTTCACACCACCAACAGCAGTAGCCATTGCAATCGACCAAAAAAAAAAACCAATTTGTCATCAGCCAAACCATTCTCAAATTAAAATTATTACTCGAATAACAAAATTAAATAAAAACACATCGTTGGAAGGAAGGAAAATACCGGTAAAATCAATCAAAGAAACAGAGAAAGAAATCCAGGACTCAATCGAAATGTAAACAGAGAGAGAGCAGCTGAAGAATAGAGTGGTAAGATAGAGTGAGTATGATCTACACACATTTAACAGCACCAATTGTAAACGTCTAAGAGAAATAAAACAATTTCCCATCGGTCTGATCATTCTCAAGTTTAAAAAAAAAATCATGTACGGAAAGGCTAATTACTAGATTAAATGAAAAAAACCTCATTCAATGGTAGAAACACAATACCAACTCTGGAACTATTATCCTAAAAAAACTCAATATTTCTGGAATAACTAAATTAGGGTAAAACAGATCATCGGAAGAAAAGAAATGAGCGGAAAAATTAATCCAGAGGATTGATCCGATAACTATTCCTAAAATCCATCAGTGAACTAAGTTTAAACAATTCAATAACATTTAAACCAATATTAAAGGAATACAGAAATCCACTGTTGAAGAAAAACAAAGAGAGAGGGAGAGAGCAGCTGAAGAATAGAGTGGTGAGACAGAGTGAGTACGATCTACACACCTTCAACAACAGCAATTACAAACGACTAAGAGAAAATTTCTCATCGGTCGAATCATTCTCAAATTAAAAAACAAAAATCATATAAAAACCTAATTACTAAATTAAACGAAACATGTTATTCACGGGAAGAATAAAACTACCAGATCTGGAATTATTATCATACAACAGCTCAAGTCGTCGGGAATAAAGGAAAATGTCGGGAAAATCAATATAAATATTGATCCGACAATGAACCCTAAAATCCATCAGTGAACTAAAAATAAAAAATATTAACAATAAACTTCAAAACGATATTCAAGGAATACATATCTTTGGTGTTGAGATATAAGCCAAATGTTCAATGCAAACGATTGATTAGACAAATATAACTCAACACCGTTATCATCGACCCAAATCTTGAATCGTAACCTAACTCATCCGTTATTTCAAATCAAGGTTTCGATCGGGACGAATCAGAGTAGGAGAGAAAGATAGAGAGAGCGGACAGACAAAATAGAGACAGAGTAGAGAGAGTAGAGAGAGAGCACCTGAAGATGATAATAGGGAAAACAGAAAACGGAAGAGAGAAAAGAGGGGTAAACCCCTGTATTTGAAAATGGTGAAATGAAATTGTTAACTCAACACCGTTATCATCGACCCAAATCTTGAATCGTAACCTAACTCATCCGTTATTTCAAATCAAGGTTTCGATCGGGACGAATCAGAGTAGGAGAGAAAGATAGAGAGAGCGGACAGACAAAATAGAGACAGAGTAGAGAGAGTAGAGAGAGAGCACCTGAAGATGATAATAGGGAAAACAGAAAACGGAAGAGAGAAAAGAGGGGTAAACCCCTGTATTTGAAAATGGTGAAATGAAATTGATATGGCATTTTCATAGATTAAATGATTATATAAGAGTGGGAGAAAGTGATTTCTACAATATGAATTGGTGAACCGTGAACCGCCGGGCCGGCCCGGTGGTTCACGGATTTAAAAAAAAAAAAAATCAAAAAAATTCAAAAAAAAGCAAAAAACGGCCGGTGAACCGGTCCAGTGAACCGGCCGTTATTTGCTATTTTTTGAATTTTTTCCCTCCCATTTTTTCTTATAAATACCCTCACACCCCATTTTTTTCCTATAAAATTAAGTTAAAATCATTTTATTTATTTCCTTTTTGTTTTTTTTCCTATTTAAAAGTAATTATTCTAATTTATTTATCCATTAAGTATTTTAAAAATATATATATATATAAATAGAAATTTCCATGCCGACCCGGAACCGGCCCGAATAGGCCCGGAACCAGATTGAACCGGCGGGCCGACCCGGCCCGCCGAACCGTGCATATTACGGGCCGGTTTCGGTTCCGGAAAAAGTGAACTGTGAAGGTATGAACCGGCCCGAACCGACCTATAGCCGTGTCTAATCAAAAGCGTTTTGAAAAAAATAAAATAAACGTAGAAGTAGTTTGCAAAACTAAGAAACCAAAAGCATTCTTAAATGAAATAAATTAAACAGAGAAGCGGGTTTCAAAAATAAGAACCAAAAGCGTAGTTTTAGAGGAAATATGATAAACGGAAAAGCGGTTTTTTTTCAAAAATAAGAGCCCATACGCATATTTATAAGAATAAAAATTAACGAATACCGGATTTTAAAAAAATAAGAAACAAAACGTGAGTTTGAAAGAAATAAAATCAACAGAAAAGCGGGTTTCAAAAATAAGAAACCAAAATCGTTGCGTAAAGAAATAAAATAAACGGAGAGTAAGTTTTCAAAAATAGGAAGCAGAAAATGTGGTTTGACGGAAAAGCGGGTTTCGAAAAACAAGAAACCAAAAGCATTTTTTGAAATATGGACTTACTTTCTGGGTTCAGAAAATTGTTGTTTGCAACTCATTCAATTTTTTTTATCTCTCTAGACAAAATCACTCTCCTCACTAATTTGGCCTAAAATCATCTTTGTTGAAGTGATATACGAACACAAATGAGCTCATCGGATGAAGATTGGGATACACATCACAACAAGGTAAAAATTTTGTTATTTAGTTTGAAAAATCTGGACTAAAAAGCCAAACGCCCAACTAGGGCGCGCGATTAGTAATACACGCCCAAGTCGGGCGTGCAAACCTGTGTTCCACGCCCAAACCGGGCGTGTGAAACACCGGTGCATGGCCAAACCGGGCGTGTGAACCGATGTTCCACGCCCAAACCGGGCGTGTGACATTGCTTCGGGCGCCCGGTTTGGGTGTGCAGGCCCCCGCCGGTTTGGGCGTGGGGGCCCAAACGAAACACGTTATTCACGGGAAGAATAAAACTACCAGATCTGGAATTATTATCATACAACAGCGTCATCGGAACTAAGTAAAATGCCGGGAAAATCAATACAAATATTGATCCGACAAGTTAACCCTAAATTCCATCGGCGGACTAAAAATAAAAAAAAGTATAAACAATAAACTTCAAAACATGTTCGATGAATACAGATCTTCAGTGTTGAGATATAAGTCAAATGTTCAATGCAAACGATTGATTAGACAAATATAACTCAACACCGTTATCATCGACCCAAATCTTGAATCGTAACCTAACTCATCCGTTATTTCAAATCAAGGATTCGATCAAGACGAATTAGAGAAGAAGAGAAAAATAGAGAGAGCGGAGAGACAAAATAGAGACAGAGTAGAGAGAGAGCACCTGAAGATGATAATAGGGAAAACATAAAACGGAAGAGAGAAAAGAGGGGTAAACCCCTGTATTTGAAAATGGTGAAATGAAAATGATATGGCATTTTCATAGATTAAATGATTATATAAGAGTGGGAGAAAGTGATTTCTACAATATGAATTGGTGAACCGTGAACCGCCGGGCCGGCCCGGTGGTTCACGGATTTAAAAAAAAAAAAAAGAAATCAAAAAAATTCAAAGAAAAGAAAAAAACGGCCGGTGAACCGGTCCAGTGAACCGACCGTTATTTGCTATAAAATTAAGTTAAAGTCATTTTATTTATTTCCTTTTGTTTTTTTTCCTATTTAAAAGTAATTATTCTAATTTATTTATCCATTAAGTACTTTTAAAATATATATATAAATATAAATTTACAGGCCGACCCGGAACCGGCCCGGAACCAGATTGAACCGGCGGGCCGACCCGGCCCGCCGAACCGTGCATATTATGGGCCGGTTTTGGTTCCGGAAAAAGTGAACTGTGAAGGTATGAACCGGCCCGAACCGATCTATAGCCGTGTCTAATCAAAAGCGTTTTGAAAAAAATAAAATAAGCGTAGAAGTAGTTTGCAAAACAAAGAAACCAAAAACATTCTTAAATGAAATAAATTAAACAGAGAAGCGGGTTTCAAAAATAAGAACCAAAAGCGTAGTTTTAGAAGAAATATGATAAACGGAAAAGCGGTTTTTTTTCAAAAATAAGAGCCCATACGCATATTTATAAGAATAAAAATTAACGAATACCGGATTTTTAAAAAATAAGAAACAGAACGTGGGTTTGAAAGAAATAAAATAAACAGAAAAACGGGTTTCAAAAATAAGAAACCAAAATCGTTGCGTAAAGAAATAAAATAAACGGAGAGTAAGTTTTCAAAAATAGGAAGCAAAAAACGTGGTTTGAAAGACGGAAAAGCGGGTTTTGAAAAACAAGAAACCATTTGAAATAGGGACTTACTTTCTGGGTTCAGAAAATTATTGTTTGCAACTCATTCAATTTTTTTTTATCTCTCTAGACAAAATCACTCTCCTCACTAATTTGGCCTAAAATCATCTTTGTTGAAGTGATATACGAACACAAATGAGCTCATCGGATGAAGATTGGGATACACATCACAACGAGGTAAAAATTTCGTTATTTAGTTTGAAAAATCTGGACAAAAAAGCCAAACGCCCAACTAGGGCGCGCGATTAGTAATACATGACATTGCTTCGGGCGCCCGGTTTGGGCGTGCAGGCCCCCCCCGCCGGTTTTTTTTTTCTTTTTTCTTTTTTATTAATTCTTTTTACATTTTTTTCAGGAAAACCAACACAATACGGGTGAAGTTGAAGTGGATCATACTGATTATTTTATAATAGATCAATTGTTTGACTCCAAGGACGAGCTGGTAGATTGGGCGAAGTCTGTTGGTAGAAATCTTTTTGTTAAGTTGATTATAAAAAGTGGCCCTAAACCTAATAAAACGTTCCTGATTATTGACCTATTTGGGGCGAAACGAGATACTCCATCAACTAACCCAACTGCGCGCTCGAGAAGATGGACTGGTAGCAAAAAAATTCATTGTGGTTTTAAGGTTGCGGGAGTGAAACGGTTGATGATAGATGGGAGCTCAGAATATTATATGGGAAGAATAATCATTATCCGGTATATACATCTGGGCATGGGCTGAGTCCATTGTCTAAACAGGAGTTGGAGATTATTAAAGATTTGTCAAAAAGTCCTGTGCCGCCGAAGAAGATTATGGCTCACTTGAAACAAATGGGTTTGGGTCTCAATGCGTATATGAAACAAATATACAATGCAAAGGATCATTTCAAAAAAGATGCTAGGGGTGACCATACAGTAATGCAACATTTGATTGGGTTGCTCGAGGAGCACAACTATTACAAGTGGATTCGTACTGATGAAACAACACACGAAGTTATTGATTTGATGTGGGCTCACCCTCAGTCTGTCGAATTGCTCAGTAAGTTTCCGTACGTTATACTACTTGACAGTACTTACAAAACCAATCAATACAAAATGCCTTTGTTGTAAATTGTTGGTGTTACTTCTGTGGGTAGTAATTTTACTGTTAGAGTGGTATTTATGCCCTATGAAAATGAAGACCATTATACGTGGGTATTGCAAAAAATTAAAAGACTTTACCCCTAAACACTCTACCTAGTGTAATTGTGACTGATCGAGAGTTAGGACTCTTGAAGGTGTTAGAGAATGTATTTCCGACAGCGGATCATCTTTTATGTCTTTGGCACATTAACATGAATGTGGGTCGTCGTGCTGCACGATGTTTGGGCAATAGTAAGTCGCGAGGGATTGCATTCGTACGTGGCCCGTGGCAAAATGTTGTAACATCCCTATGTGAGGAAGATTTCAATAGGAATTACATGGCTTTGATGGACGAGTATGCAAATTATCCACAGTTGATCGAGTACCTCCATGACACTTGGATCATATACAAAGAGAAATTTGTTCGTGCATGGACGGATCATATTTTTCATTTGGGCAATACAGTGACTAGCAGGTATTTATTTTTTGTTAAATACAAATATTTAACTTAATGCTATTTTGTGTACTGAAACGTAACATATTTTAATCATATTACGGTGGAAAGTAACCATAGAGCATTGAAGAGATGGTTGGATGTGTCCACAGGCGGATTTGACACATTTTGGGTACAATATAATTCACAAATAACAGATAAGCTTAATGAGATCCTGAATGAATTTGCGAAGTCAAAGAGGATTCGGGCTAAGACGATTAATGTGCATGTGTTTAAAATTTTGTCCAGTGGAATTGTAACTCATGCCGCTCTGAAGCTTTTGGACGCTGAGCTGGAGACAGATTTAGACAGTTGCACTCATTTTCAGAGGTCAACTCATGACCTCCCATGCAAACATGAAATTGATATTAAGGTGAATTCACGAGGCGATTTATTTTATGCTGAGGATGTTCACTTGTTTTGGAGGACGACAGTTTTGGTGGATGGTAGCCAAGAAAAAAATGTTGGTTCCGTTTCCGATCACAGGACACAAGCTATTTTTCGGCTCGGCGGATTAATTGATAAGCTGCGTCAACGGTCTGAAATTGAGATCATTGATGTGACAGATGTAGTTTTCAAACGAATGCATCCTGGGGAGACAGAATTAAATGAACCACCAGTAGTAGACCACCCGAGAGGCAGACCGCGGAACAACTCCACACGGAGGGATAATTCAGCACATGAGTATCCACTATACCCCACACAGGATGAAGATAATGTAACTGGACGAGGTCGAGGACGAGGACGAGGACGAGGACAAGGCAATAGAGGTCGTGGTGCATCTTCTGAAAGCGGAAACTGTAGCCGTTCGTCGACTGTGAGTGGACCCGAAACGGTACGAATGCCCCGACCTGATTTTTTTCGACATCTTCATTTATGCCTTGTTCCAGAGGTTGTGACATGGACGGACGTTCGAGGGGGTGGTAATTGTGATAGAAGCGTTGAGTGTGCAGTGAAAGATCACGAGGATGATTGGATGGATGTTAGATTGGATATTTATAACTGTATCAAAAGAAATGAGGTCTTGTTCAAGGATTATTTTGGTGGTGGTAATTATGTATATCAGGTGTTGGCGAAAGTCGCCTATTGGGTCAACGCTCAAGCACCAATTGAAAAGTGGATGACTATCACGGACGTGGGCGTGGTCGTAGCAACATGTTACAACGCTTTGGTGTTATCGG